CCACAAAAAAAAAGAAAAAGGGGGGGGCCGGGGGGGGGGGGGGGGGGGGGTCGTACGGGGCCGGAACAAGAGGGGGGGGTTCAGGCGCTGTGTGGAACCCCATCTTCGGGTCGGAGCAGCGTTTCCAGTACCACGAACTGCGGCGTAGAAACTCAGTTTGGCACCCCACATATGGAGGCGCAGGATCGCTTAGAGACGGATTTCACTACTACATTTTCTTGCTGCAATTTGACACAAAAAAGTACGAGCGAGAGTGTCATTTCCTTCCTTCTCCCACCTCGCCGATGCACATTCTTACCATGTACTGCTACAGTAAAGACAAGAACAGAGCAAGATGCGAAACGTCTTCCCTCACCCCTTCGTATAGTAACACAACTCGTTGTGCTGCAGCGACCAGAGCGAAGCCGTGAAGCCGTGTCCCCCCGGCCCCGACCACGACGACGGCAGTGGTACGGCCGCGACGCGCCCGCGCACGATCTACAAAACAGTCATGAACGCTTTCTTTTAGAACCCCTTCTTCGCCGATCCAACACTTGGGGCCAACCAAACGCCCGCACACACACATTTTTTTAATTTTGCCCCCCTTCCCAGAGACCTTGATTTTACCCGCTGAAACTGACGTCTTTTCATTGGTCAGCCGGCTAGTGCGGTCGATGCTAACAACAAATAAAATAATTTAAAAAAAAAACACGCACACACCTTTCTCTCGGCGACGAGTCGACCGAGATTGTCGCGTACCGCGTCGACGCCGCCGGGAAGAGCGGGTGCGGCAGAGAAACGCCGAGGCAGGAGGCCACAGCGGCCACGAGGCGCGCCACCAACGCCAGGGAGGCCATCAGCACGTCTGCGGGCACCTCTGCGGAAAGGAGGGGAGGAGGGGAGACGATCAAGAGGACCGACGGCACGAACGACAAGAACAAGACAGCAAAGTTAGACACCAAAAGAGACCACCAATAGAACAACGCCAAAACAACACCGGCGGCCCCAACATGCGCAGCGACGAAAGAGAAAAGACGTGAGCACACGGGGGAGCGCGCGCGGGGGGGGGGAGGGGAGTAGTGCCACACGTCTGCGGCGTCTGCCGGCAGCACGGTGCATGGATGGCGCGCTTGGAATAGGGCTCAAGGCGGAGGATCTTTCTCATTTCTTCGCGCTCTTGCCGTCCCAGGTGTCCCCCCCCCCCCCCCCCGATGCCAAAATCGCCATTCATTTTGTTCATGCAGGCAAAGGTACGTTGTGGAATCACAACACGAAGAGGTTGTTCGGCGAGAAGAACCCCTAATTTTACCCCAAAACTTCCATCCGACATCTGAGCGGTTGGATCTCTTGCTATCATGCGAAACATGGGCGAACGGTTCTGCTGATGTGTATCCTGGAGTCGAATTCTAAGCATACTTCCAGCACCACTGCAGGTAGGCTCATGGCAATTTCTGCCGCTCTGTAGCCCATCTGCTATATACTGGAGTTAAGAGAAAAATTGGGTGTTTTTTGGCAGACAATTGCGGGTCAATTCCGATCGCCGTAGACTTCACCCTCATTTTGACCATAGAGTTTCTCCATGCCTTTTTCGCTAGGGTGTGGCACTCTCTCTCTACGCGAAGCATAGACGTGAAGTGTAGATGTGAAAGTCGTCTCCCTAGAGTTGAAAAAAGTCGCGTGCAACAGCGGGAACCGACTCCACTTCAGTCGTGGTTCCTCAGTTTTTCTCCCGGTCAGGGACATATCATAGGGGTATCAACAGCTTGCGGAGGAGGGGGGTGTACTCATACTCATAGTCGTGCATGCCGTAGTCGCTAGACCATTGACCTCGCATCCGTGTAAAGCCGGGATGGAGCACGCCGCGTGCTTCTCACCGGACCAGGCTCTCACATCACCAAGCGCGACGCGCCGTGAGGTATTCGGCGAGTCGCATGAAGGGTGCGCTGCATCCTGCTAAGGGTGTTCGGCATCTTGTGCTTACTTTCTTGCGTGCGGAAGACAGCTGCGTAAGACTTAATTTATTATCCATCCGCAATGTGGCAAACACATGGCTTGCGGAGGAGGGAGAGAAAAATAACCTTGTTGAAATGCCTCTTTCACTCCATGGCAAGCCCCATGCCCGTGGAAGGAGCACGAGGCCATGACCGTGCTGGGCTCAACCGGGCCAACTCTGGGGAGACACAACAGTCCCGCTGAAACAAAAGGCGTGAATTCTGGTCGTTGACTCTATATTTTACTTTCCAACGTAGGGGAGCAACACCTGTGCCGTACTTTTCTCGGATGAAGCGCGGTTGACGAAGTGCAGTAATTGCCAGTGGAAGAAGAGGTGGGCATGACACATGCGGCTACTGCTGCTGTGTGAAAATACGCGCTCCAAGTAACGGTGATCTATACTCTGAACAACCAAACCCCTCTGGCTGACAGGGTCACTCGTGTGGACAAAAGCACTCCGCACACCGCTGGTAGTTTGCCCCGTCGCACTACATACGACTGGTGCATTTTCATCGGTCAGAAGGTAAACGGTACTCGACGCTAACTAAGTAGACACACGAAACAGACACACACACCCTCATCCGCTCCAAGCACTCACGGCTGTAGTCCCCGTTGTTCGGCAAAGGGAGGTCCACCAGGGTACTCACGCCGCTGACCACCTCCCCTCCGCCGCCGCCCCCGGCCTTCGCCACCCCGCCGCCCGGCGGCGGCAACCTAGTTACCTCCCTGCCTTCCTCGCTCTCCGCTGTCGACGGCGCGGTCCCCGGAGAGTGATCCCCTCCCCCCAAGTTCTTCTTGCCTCTCAGCGGCCATTCTCGGCGCGGCGGCATCGATGGCTCCACGGGGAGGAGCACGAAGAGCTGCACCACCTTGCGCCAGCGCCTCTGGCGGAGCGTCCGCGCGGCGTCCTCGGCGTGCCGCCTCAGGCCGATGAGGAGCGCCTCGTTCATTTCCACCGCCGAGGCCTGCTCGCGGGACAGGTGCGACTCCGCCGCGGCGAGGAGGTCGCGGTGGTGCTTCAGGGCGAACGCCGCGCTCGCGACCTTGATTCGCTCTGCAGCCGCCGCCGGTATCGTCATCGTTTCGAGGCAAACACGCGGCGGGCGCAAGGACCGGAGGCCGTCGTCGTGAACATCCCGGGAGACATGACCGGGGGTAAACTTAGACACCGTATGGCCCCGTGTGACGAGGATAAAACGTTTAGAGGAGATAGGGTTGATATTTTATTTTTTCGAGCGGCAGAAGTGAGATGAACAGAATGTGTAAGGAACGGGGGCAGCAGGGCGCGGAGCGAAGGGACCAGGGAAGGTGAAGTGACCATACAACCTTCGCAAACGTTTCCCACGGATTTACATAAATAGCAGCAACAACTCTGACATCGGCAAACACAAGCCATCATCAGGAGAGTGGTGTTTATCGCCGCCTCGACTATTGCCACCAACAAACACCCGTAGCGTGGAGATAATGTAGACATTGGGGCGTGTAAGAACCCTCTTGCCTTGGCACCGTCGTAGGATCGACAGACAACGAACTCACCCATACCCCCCGAACTTTCTCCTTCCTCTAGAGCTCAACTCCGCCGTTGCACGAGAAAACACGTAGCCCTCGCGATGCATCAGCCCGTACTCCCTTGCTCTCACCTTCCGCGACCCTCTTGGCAACCTCGCGGACATGATCCTTCAGCCGGCACTCATCGGCCTCCTCCTTCTGCAGCCGCGCGTCGTGCTGAACGGCGACCCCACGCTCCTGCGTGCCAGCCAGCGCAGCGGCATACGAGAGAGCAAACGCTGTTAACACCGTCTCAGACTTGCGGGAGAGCGTAGGGCATGTCGGTGTTCTTTCCTTCGAACGAGGTTCTTGATTATATCACTCTGCCCAGCAGAGCCCTCACGGTTGCAAACACGTGTACATACACACTCCGTGTTTTGTAGTACACGCCAACTCGGGCTGCAACTCCCACCCCAACTTGCCGACTTCGTGCCAAGTTGCCCAAGAACAACGAACACCGCGACTGGTGACACAGCAGTTGACGTTTTCAAAGGGGCGTGGGTGTGCGTGCGTGCATGCAGGCCTACCACAGAGCATCGCATTACACACGGAAGTTACGCGCATCACTTTTGCACACACCTGCGCCGCAACAGTGGCCGCCTCGCGAACGCTCTCCAGCGCCCCCAACCGCTTGGCCCTCTCCGCTCTCCGCCGCTCCGCCTCCCGCGTCACGCACGCGCCGCACACCAGGTCCCCCGCCTTGGCGTTGCAGACTCCGCACTTCCAACCCCGCCCCGCTGCCGCCATCGCTTCGCTTCGAGGCTGGCTCGCCCGACTGGTGAGGTGCTTGCTGGTGCTGGGGCGCTTATCTATGGCTGACTAGCCGACGTTGGGGCGATGGCTTCGGGTCTGTAATAACCATACGTGGCCGGTAGCGAGGAGGGGCATGAGAGGATGGGGGACGTTCCGAGCGAGGATTGAGTATGGTCCAGAGATGAGAGAGATAGTGGGTGGTCGATCGACTAAGACTGTGAATTGACAATTGAGTAGCCGGAAGACCGGGAAATGGACAACTCCATCCCCCCTGGAATGTCACAATTCCTGCCGTTTTCCCTTTCGAAAAACTCTCTTCTCAACAGCATTCCCTTCGAATTTAACACCGCAGACCAAATTTGTGTGATCCCTAATCGGAAGTCGTGGGGGTAGAGAGGCCGTAGCAACGGTATTCAAATGGGAGGGGGGAAATAAGTCCTTAACCACTGCTGCTCTCTCGCTCTGATTTCAAGTTGAATTCTGCAGCAGCAGCAGCAGCAGTAGGCGAGAAAGGTCAGAAAGATGATGACGGGTAAACGACTGCTGAAACTGCTGCATCTGCTGTTGACGCGGCGGGCTGTGTGATCAACTTTTTGACCATAATTTATCATGCAGCGCCTTTTTGACAAAATTGCAATATTTGTAGTCCCGTTTCCTTATGTTACGCTATTCCACCGAAACGCCGAGCCTCCGAAACTTGACGGCGTTAGCAGTAGTGTATCACCCAAAGTAACGGAGAACTGCAAGGTTAAGACTAGTGTGAGAGCATCAACCGTTACTTCAGTTCTTCAGTTGAACACGTTACAAATCACTCAGAAATAATAATGTTTTTCTACCGATACGAGACCTCTCGACCAGAGGAGAATAAAACGACCCCCAATGGAGAATGTGAGACACAGGTACGCCGGCCTCTCAGACGCACTTCTCTTTTCCTGCAGAGAAGCTTTGTACAGCAGCACACATATCACGCCATTTGCACTGCGGCTGTGTCGGGAGGTCGCGCCGCGTACTACGCTGTACACCCGCGGGGTCACGTCGAGAACATTTTTCATTCCACGATCAATGATGCGAGACTGCACATACACATACACAAACCTCCTCGGATCTTTCGCTGGGCCTCCGCTTGCCCCCGCTACGTTGGTCTCAGCCCCTCTGTCTGTGTCTCTCCCTCCCGCAGGCCGCTGCGCTCTTGCACTGTACCATGTGGTGCCTCCGCAGCTGCTGCCAGCCTGCTACCCCCCCTCCCCCTCCTGGGGTCTTCTGCGATCTGCGATGTCCCTCAGCTCACACTTGCACACTCCCGTCGCGGTTGACCCACCACACCCACCCGCGCCCGCGTATCGGCCTGGCATACCGACCTTCTCAGAGAGGTAGGGCGTGTGGTGTGTGGTCAGGGTCCACCGTGCCTTCACAACCGAGGCTGAGGGGACGATGCAGGACCAATACTTGCCGCCAGACGTGGTGAAGAGCACCTTTCGGCGATTGCGAAGCAAAGCCGATAACAAGGTGCGAAATTTCTTCTTCGAGAATGGAGACAAGGTTTCGGGAGACGCACGATCGGTGTATTGTCGTTGTCATTATATGCCGACAGTAGTCGGGTCGTGTCTCCTTCTGTTGTGAAACTTTCAACGAAGCTAGCTGGGGCGGGTAGCGCTGATGCTGTTTTTCCTTTGTCGCCTGTGCCTCTACGGACTACATACAGCATTAGATGGACTTTGTTCGTGCGCAGACCGCAGAGACAGCAGCCTACCGCCGTAGACTACTGCTGTGTAGATGAGAACAAAGGACCAGAGCCACAGACGGAGAGAGCGTCAAGGACTCACACGCACATCTTGCTCGGCTCTGTGTAGAGGACGCCGACACCTGCAGCGATGCCCTTCGGTTTGGTGCTGCTTTGTCTAGTGCTGTTCGGCTCCTTCCTCGCTCTGTGTAGGGGACTCCGCAGACAGCGGCAACCGTTTGTCCTGGTGATTGAGAACGTCACTCAACTCTGGATTGCAGAGATACTCCGAGTACAGCTATTGTTTGCCCTATCTGGTCGCCGAGAACAACAGCAGGCGTGGGATAATAGCGTATTTTATCCTCTTGGCCAACGTTATGTTTTATGTTTCATGCGTAGGGCGTTCTTTGCCCGAGGTCGCTGGGGAAAAGTTACAAAGTTGTAGATTCGGAAATCTGTCCGCTTCCCCATGCAATTCAAACGACGGCAACCAGTAGCACAGCAGGTACTTAGTTCCAGGCCTAAACTCCCTTGTGAAAGCGAAGTCCGCAGGGCGCGCATGCTTTCAAGTGCCGAAGAAGGCCCGCCCGTTGACGAGCAAAGCTGTAGTCAATCAGTCAGTCCTGCTGCTTACCGCTCCGTGGGTAAGTTACAATTGCAGCGCTCGGCACTCCGTGAGGAACGGAAGGCTTTGTTTCCCAGCTACTGAAGTACTGTAATGTACCAGGTACCGCTGTACCATTAGTCTGGGACAACGTGTTCCTACAAACACGAACTTCTGCTATCAACCTTTGGCATAACCAAGGTTGGTATTCTTAGAGAGGTTGGGCCTGCGTGCCGTGCACGGAGTTAATATTTTCATGGGCGTCCTCGGCTGCCCGTGTACTCTATCCGATTGCTGGAAAACGTCTTAAAAATCATTTTTTCTCTTGTGGGGATCCAATTTTTTCCGACGAGAATCTAATCAAACAGCTGATCGGCTGATGTGGAAGAAAATGATCAGCTGCTCGTGTGTACACAAATTCGACGTCAGGGTCGACAAGGGAAAGGAATGAATGGCTGAAACCTTTCGCGGTAAAATTGTAGGCCGGCACCGCAGATGAAAGGCTGAGAGAAACAGAAACAACCACCGCGTGTTCGCTCCTGAGGGGCCTTTCCACCTGTGTCGCCATGGCTGATGCGTCCACAACACACGAAGGAAGTTGCATTATTATTATTTCACGTCTAGAAATGTTGTATTATTTCACAGACACACACACTCGGTGATTTTGCACCTGCGATGCCACCGCTGAAACGGCAACGTCTACTTGTGCCCCCACACACGCAACAGCAATCGTTTCGCCCGCTTTGCGCCGAACAGCCTTGACCCGATTCACACCCAACTTGTGCACTCCAAGCTGCTGTCAAACGACGACAGTATCGAGGAGCATATCTGTATCCCCCCCACGCCCCCCTCGCCTGACCGCTGGTGCCCCACCTCCCCGCACATCGTTGACTGGTGCGTCTGTCATTCCTCTATGCAAACCCCACAATTTTCAAGGTTTGTTTCGACTGTCCGACCCGGAATCCCACCTGGGCGTCGGCGACGTACGGCATTTTCATCTGCTACGACTGCTCCGCGGTGCACCGGAACATGGGGGTCCACGTGACCTTCGTCCGCAGCATCGAGCTGGACAAATGGAAGCCGTCGGAGATGGAGGTCATGAAGCGCGGCGGCAACGGCAACGCGCGTTCCTTCTTCCGCTCCCACGGGGTCACCGACATGGAGAAGTCGGAGCAGAAGTACCACTCGCGCGCGGCGCAGATGTACCGTGCCCACCTCAAGAAGGTTCGGTGGCTTTTTCTTAAGAGTATCTCGCAATTCTTAGGGGGACGTTTTCGTTCCCCTTGGCAGTTCTATCGGCTGGTGCTGAGGCTGCCGCTGCTGTTGTTTTGCTTCGGGACTTGTACAAATTCCCCAGCTACAGGTACACATTGTTTTTTTTAAGCACGACGTTTAAGGCGGGGAACAGGGGTAGTAGCGCGCAGCAAAACTTTTACGACCAAACCGTCGTCCCGCCTCATATCCCTCCTCCGTCCTCTTTTCTGTTGTCCGTCCATCCATCCGGGTGCGCGGCTGGTATCATTAATCGATTCGGTACCGAACCTGGCAGGCGATGGCCGATCCCGGCGTCGTGACCCCCCCGCAGTCGCCGAGAGAGGAACCGGTGGACAGCGTCGCCGACGGCCTGGACCGCCTCATGCGGGACGTGGACGGCAAGCCGGCGGCTTCGGCGCCAGCCAGGGGCTTCACGAACGGCGGCACAGCAGCCAAGGGCCTCGCAAACGGCGGCGCCCCCGCGGCGGACGCGGCCGCAGCGGCGGCGAAGTTCGCACAAGCCTTCCCCTCCTCGTCGCAGCCCGCCGCCCCGACCAGCGGGTCGGCAGCGGCAGGCGGGCATGCCGCTGCTGATGCTCCCGCTCCGCCGCCGGTCAAGCCGTACGAGCCGAAGCCCCGCGGGAGCCTGTCGGTGTCCCCGCCAACGGCTCCAGCGGCGGCGGCGGTTGCGGTAGACGAGCCGAAGGCGACGCCGGTGGTGCGACTCAGCTCCTCCAAGTCGCCCCCGCCGCGGGTTCGGAAGGGTGGCGCGAAGAAGATGGGCGCGCGGAAGCTGGGCGCGATGAAGATCGGCAGCGGAGGAGCGGCGGTCAAGCTGTCGGGTTTTGAAGACACCACCACCGCCCCGGCGGCGGCGGCGGCGGCGGCGGCAACACCGGGAGCGGCGGGGGGCGGAGAAGACGCGGACCTCGCGCTCGCCCGGAAGCTCCAGGAAGAGGAGGACCTTGCGGCGGCGGTGGCGGCCCCGTCGTCCCGCCTGGCGGCCGCCGCTTCGGCGGCTCTCGCGCCTCAACCGAGCAACAGCAAGGCCGCCGGGGCCGGCGAGGGCGGCGGAGGGTCGATTTACCGTTCCGCGAACGATTCGAGCTCTTCCTCTTCCTACGGGGGCGGGGCGGGGGGGGCTTACGGGTACCGGAACGGCGCCGGCGGCATCGGCGTCGGCTCGAGCAGCAGCAGCAGCTACGGCAACGGGGGTGCGTACGGGGGCGGCGGCGGGTCTTCGTTCGACAAAGACAAGTACAAGAACGTGAAGGGCATCGGGTCGGACATGCTCTTCGGGGCCAAGGACGACGACCCGGACGAGCAGGCGCGCCGGGCGATGAAGAACCAGGAGTACAGCCAGTCGGCCGCCATCAGCAGCGACATGTACTTCGACAGAGAGGAGAGCGGCGGGGGCGGGGGGGGTTACGACGGCGGCGGCGGCGGGGTGGGCATCGGGGACATGGCGGACCAGATCGCCGCCTCGGCGGCGGCAGATATCCGGGACGCGGCACAAGCCGCGGGAAAGCTGAAGGTGAGGATGAAGAAGAGTATTTTTTTATGATATTTCTCGCGTGGTTGTTTTTTTTTACACGAGGCTGTTGTGCTGCTGATTTGTTCACGCTGGTGCTTGGCAGCGACTCCAGGAGGGTGTTGGGCCGGAATTTTCCGGCCGCTTTCGGGGAATCGGAATGTGGAGCTTTTGCAAGTTTTGTCATAGCGCGAACTGCTGTTGTCACGGAGGGTGTTTTCGTGTTTGTTGTGGCGCAGGGGGGCTGTCGCCGCGGAGAGGAGACTGCTCAGGCTGTTTTCCAGTTTCCTGTGTTCATCGGCCTACATAGATGGTCGCACCCGCTTGCCTTGTGTGTGGGCATGCTGTGCTCCGTGGCCCGTTTTTTTCGCTGTTTACGTACAACGTCAGTGGTGTGCACACGTGCCTCGAGGGGGCATTTTGTAATGTGTTACTCCCGTGTCTCCTCGTACTTACAAGTAGGTTTTGGGAGCTTGTCCATTCGAGTTTCATTCATACCCGCCTGCGCTTTTCCAGTCAATTCTTACCCCGGGACCGTGTGTGTGGAATGGAAGCAACGTTGCCTTGTTTTGTCACGATCGCGAATGATTTTCCACAAACAGCTCGTCATGTTCTCATCTAAGTTATGCCTTACCTTCCCGTCGAATCCTTGGGCGTATACGTCTGCATGTACCGAGTACATAACCCCCAACTTTTTTCTCGCGGACCCCCCCCCCCCCCGCGCGCCCCTCGTTATATTGCCGCTCCTCGTCGCCCTACAGGACATGACCAAGGGTTTCTTGGACGACCTGCAGAACATGGTCGGTTGAAGCTGGACGCGGAAAAGCAAGCCGTGCGTGGGCGCGCCCGCCGTGTTTTGCGCTGCCGCGCGACACTCAACCCCTAGACAGAGCAAATGCCCCTTTCGCCGTTAACGTGCGGTTGTGACGACGGGACTGTAGAGCGCGCTCGCACGCGGCGGGGGAATGCGCAAAACGAGGGTGGCGGCTCGTCGAAAAATGCGCCCAACGGTCAGGAGAACGGTTGGAATGAACCGAGTGTGCCGGAAACGCTACAGTCTAGTAGTCGGCCAATCGTTTTTTGCTCTTGCTTTCGCCGAAATGTTTCGAGGAGAAGGAGAGCAAGCAGCTATCCAAACGGCGTGTAGTCCCGTCTTTTGGCGAGAAGTAAATTATTTCGGCGGCTACCGGGCAATTTTTCAAAGGGCGGGAGCCCAGTCCACTCCTCAGGGGGAGCTTTCGTCTTCCCGTATGCATGCTTGTCTCGCATAACGTTTTTGTGCCCGTGTGTTGCGTACGCGATGCCGCCACACCAACCCTTTTTGGTTTTGTCCTTGGTTGTTTGGCTGGCCTCGTTGGCGACAGGATTAATTGCCTGTTTGATCGCGTATCAAGAAGGAGGAACGCGAACGACTGCGTTGGCTGAATTGAAGCAGGTCATGTTGTGTTCGTTACAACGCGCACCAGGGCTGCGCAGTTGTTGTTTGTCGTGAGAGCAACACGCCCATTTCTTGGAAGGGTACGGAGAAAGTCGGGAAGAACAGTGTAGTCGTGCCGATGTCAACACGACAGACAAAATTTCGCTGTGAAGCACTTTTAATTTTGTCTTCGGAGATTATTGATGCTTTTTTATGGACGTGTAAGAGGGGGAAGGGTTGATTTGCAAGGTTACCAAGGACAGCTATCATGATAGCTGTGTGTAAGCTATTGTCTTGACGCTCGGTGTTTGTTGTGTAGTGCAGTTGATGAAATGCGGTCGATGTGTAACAAGTAAGATAATTTGGAAATCTGGTCCTCTGCACCATGACCTGGGTGGATGCTAGTGTCATCGCCCACAGGGGCGGCGGGATAAAAAAAAAACGGGCAAGAGAGGCGCTCCTGCTAATATGTGTGTGGCGTCAGATTTGTCGGTGCTTTTCATATTTGGGACGCTTCGTGCTGCCTCTACGACAGACTTCGCTGTGCATGGCTCTCTACGTGCAGCCTCCGCGGGCGTTGTGATGTGAGCCACGCCTTTGAAGCTTGTACTATGAACCGACCTCGCCAGAAACGACGTTAGAAAGAAGAGCAAAGTATACACTCGCAGTGATATGTTCATTGGTTTTTTAGGAGGACACACGCCTTTGACTGAGGAGCTGTTAAGCTCCTTGTGTAGACGACGTCTGTATTTGAAAGGTCCCAAGGTCGTGGTAGCTTTGACCCGCTGCTCTGTTGCGAGGCTCTGTATGTACGCATATTGGATACCAACTTCTGGTTGGTGTGTCGGTCATCGGCATGGCTCCATGTTTGTTTATTCCTTCTCCATCACAGCCCTGATGACTACCATATTTAATTCACAGCAGTCCAGAGCGTTTAGTTTTATGGTCGGGGGTCCGAGATAAGCCGCAATACGTACACACACGTACAATTTTTGCACCTGATGATATGGCGCACATGATGACATGAGTGTATCATACATCCACGCTTTTCTTTCGCGTTTCCAGGTGGACAGACAGATGGATTGAACACTAAGGCGACTGTCGATTGATCACTAATCGCCGGACCAAAGAAGTGTGTGTGTGTGTTGATGTACCCATGGAGAGGGCTGCTTTTTGTGGAGATGTGACTGACCGGAAACGGTTTAGTGTAGTGTTGGCCACTCACAGCAAAATATGTTGTCGACGTTGATTGAAAGGAAATGCATGCCTGGTGCTCACTCCAGATTATTTGGAATGCTTCCAACACAAAAACAGCAGAGACCCCCCCCGTATTCTTGCAAGCAGGGATGAATTCCTCCCCTGTCACGACTGGCTACACTCGGGAGGAGCGCCGTTGGCCCCACCAGCGGCGGGAGCGACCTCCGCGGTTCCTTTCGCGCCGACTACCCCCCCTCCTTTCTTCACCAGAAATGAGCCAGTGCTACTGCTGCTACTGCCGCCGCCGCCGCCGCACTCTTCCCTCACCGCGCTTGCCCTAGTCTCTCTTTCTTGGTCGATGATTGACTGCGGTTTTTCATACGAGATGATAAGCATACTCCCGCCGTTGTGGGACATCTTTGCGCTAGAGCGTCGCAGGGCGAGGCCCGCCCGAATGAGGGACGGGACTTGGAAGACCTTGAAATACTTTTTGTTGGTCGTGCGGAGGATCAGCGTCTGCTTCTCCTCGTCCACGGAAAGGCTATACGTTTCCTGTTGGAGAAACAGCAGCAGAAACATGCACGTATACACAGAAGAGTATCCGCGTGCGGTTGTTATTGGTTTTTGTTTCGGACACTTGATTGACTTGCTTGTTGTTTGTTCGTTCACTTCACGGTAGTTTTTTTGTCACAGTTAATAATTATTCACATGATTTTTATTAGCTATAATAATAGCAGTAGGCCAGGAGCGGTATGCCTTGCAACCCTCGTTATAACCCTATTTTTATATTCTACTGTTGTACTGTAGCGAAAAGCGGATTGATTGGTGTGTGTCCGGATGATGAGGAGAGTGCTTCGTGGTGCGTGGCGTGAGTGAGCTAGCTGTGAATTTTACTACACAAATCTACACCACCATCATCATAATATTCAGATTCATGTGTTGTTTTACCTCGAATGAAAACTATCCGTCATCCCCCCGTTCGCTCGAATCTATCCCACCATGTCTATCTATATCTTATCACCACCCACTATGCATATGCCTGCGGACGCGGACATGGAGAAGTCTACAGTGTGCCTGCCTACAAAAAAAACAGCTGTGACTAGAAAATTGAAGTACGGAAATATTGCTGGTGGGGGGGGGCAAAAAGTGGAACTGCTGTCCCACTTGTATTCGGCATATATTCTATTTTTTTTATTATTTTCGGTACTGGGTGTTGTTTGTCTAATGTGTGTGAAAGAAACAACATTGTTTTACTACTTAATGCCTACGCCTATCAATGTTGCCTACATGGCCCGACAGCAGCAAAGCAACGATCAGTCAGTGTTCTCAAGAAGAAAGAGATTGTGAAAAAAAAATATCTCGACACTCGGATTCGAACCAAGGACCAACAGATTACCACGGTTGCCACTACAGTCTGTCGCTCTACCGGGCTGAGCTATGTCGAGATGTTTACGGTGGCGAATTTTCGATTCCAGTTCTATCGATACACCCAAAACCATTCCCAACGCAAACCAAGTACGATATGTATGGTGGTGCGCATCAGCACCGATCTACTGCTTGTCTGTCGTGCTGCATGGGTTGCCGGAGTTCGGGTATTCGCCAATATTTTGCGTCGCACGGTACGGGTGGGCACCAAAAAATTACGGAAGAACTGGTGCTGAAAAAGTATGAACACGCACCGAGACTGACGACGTCGTTTCGTTCGTCAGCCAGTTAGCGCGGTCTACTGTATGCTGGTACCGAAAAAAAAACACTACAGTAACACAATAAACACGCGCACGCACCTCTGGGTAGGGCAGATTCCGGATGTGCCATTCCCATGATTTTCTGGTGTCTCGCGGGTGGAAACAGGGCTGAAGGAAATATTATCGAAAAGGAAAACAATAAATCAAAGAAGGCAGGGACGAATTGATGCATGCGCAGCCGAAGCAACAAGCTGAGCAACAACGGCAACGACGCCGGCAGGCATGGCACCCGAGGAAGGGGGACGTCCCTGGGTAATTGCTCTGTCTCTTCATTGGATACAAAATCTAGGTGCCGCGGCGCACGTTGATTGGACCCCACTTATTGGTACGTGGAGAACGGGTATTATTTTTGCATTTATTTATCGTGTACATTTTTTACAATCTGTGTGAATATTTCAATGTCGACGCGAATAAGGTGGGGGCGCGACGAAAATATCGCATGTTCATGTCCTCTCTGGTACCACTAAACCCCTTGGACAGTGAGCAACCCTGGCGAAACGGCGTGACGCTCCAGCCACAAAACGACAACCTTCGTCATCTCCAACCTTCGAGCCACACCATGACTACGACACGCAATCGATCAATAACGTGACGCACGCACACTCAAGCGCGTACTTCTGGAGCCTGCCGATGGGGGGAAGTCTGCGCTCACGTTGAGAGAGCTCGGCTGCAGCACCTCAGCTGTGCCCATCCCGGACGGTTCCTTTGTTGGCATGGGGTCTCCTATCTCGTATTGCCACTCTGTGACACCGCCGAACGGTTTTGTAGACCTCCATCGTCGACCTTGAGTGACCAGCCGGAGACAGCCCAAGAACACGATGGAATTACTACCAAGCAAGTTTTGGCTAACACGTACCGTACGTCTTTCGGTACAGCTCTGAGCGTGGATGGAGGGGAATTTACTTAGCATGCAAGCACGATTCCGTCTAGAAATGGAGATCTGCAATGATGTCGTCGCCTTAAAATGGAGGGAGGACAACCTGGTTCTTCTCTCAACGACTGAGGTGCTGTTGTTCCCAGCGGCCGTGAGGAGAATGCATGTACATCAGACCTGCCATGATGTTGCAACGACTGCAGTTGGCGTGTGAAGAAGTTAATACTGCAGGTGTCGCTCATCCCGAAATGACTAGGGCGCTATTCTACCAGGCAGGCGGGTATTGTTGTCCCTCCGCCAGTATCTGGCATGGCTTCGGTACGGCTCCAAGCCCCCCCCCCCCGGACCCTTGCACCCACAATATCAGCGGGAGCTCTCCAGCGCGTTTAGGTGGGGAATATATTGCAGAGCAGCTCACATTCGAGGTGTTGGGTCACGGCGTCATACTCCTCCAGCTGCAGGGTAGATATGCGACGGGCGGCAAACAAGGGGAAACAGATAGAAGTACTATTTTTAGGGGTTCTCGACGTACGGGACGAGCGTGTGAGTGTGCACCATCGTGCTGCGCTTCTCAAGACAAGATAGGAGGTCTCTTGCAGCGTCGCGATGGTTGGGGGGACTGCACCCACAAGTACAAAGCCTGGTGCGAGAGACGAGACTCGGAATGATCTAGGAGAAGAGGAATTCGGAGAGGATGTGGACTCTTAAACGTCTCTATGCAAAAGACACGATCAAAATATTGTGGGTAAACGAAGAGTTATCGAGGAATCATGGAAACAAACGAACACCACAATACCCCAACCATTTCAGTCTCCCCCCTGACCGGCGGTAGCTGGGCGCGGTGGGCCGATCCCACGCGTAGGATGCGCGTGCTCTCGAAGCGGGGGGGTGACGGTTACGTTGGTAGGCGTAGTCTAGCCATCAGCAAGGTTTCGTGCCGCGTAGGTGCATTTTACGTCTCCTCTGCCTCGAGAAAAGCATGCCCAACTACAGCTCGTGGAAGGAAGGGAAGTAATACCTGCTATGGTCGAGAAAGCGAGAACTCGCGGGCGTCTCGTCCTGAATTTACATAGGTAGTAATCACAATATTCGGTGGTTGGAGAGAACGCAAACCACTGAAAGGTTGCAGTATCGAAAAGTGGACTGAACCCGGTGGGGGATGAGGCAGCATGGTCCGTGTTATGGTGATGGGGGTGCGGCTCATGCACAACTTTGCGATGTTGTGATCTTATTCAGAGTTCGCACAACATTCTCGTGGAAACTCCTGTAGCTTCCGCGATTTCTGGCAACATTCGCAAGGCCA